CGTGGTCGCCGTCGAGGAATTAAATCTAGGTGTTATCTCGCTTTTCTTGCGGTTTCTCTTGTCTCTCTAACATGCAGAACGGTTCTCGGTATGACTAAGTTCAATCGTTATTTTTGTCATCATTTCTAAACGAGTAATTTAATTTTAATCATTTAGTATCAGGATAGATCGAGGAATGTTGGAAACAAATTAATATGAGATAACGCCAATACGGTCAAAGCAGATCTTGGTATACTCGATAATATTCTAAAGTGTGAATCTTATAATTCATTGGTTCAAATAACCGCGTGCCGCATGTCATCGAACTTTCAACGCAGCTCAAAAACCGAATAGTACGTAATATCACAATTAAATTGCCAACGGCAATCTAATAAATCGATGCTCTTATAACATCTATTAAATCCTATGAAAATAACTTATTGCGAAAAATATTATCTCAACCGGAATTCGAATAAATATTTATTAATTTCATTCACAAGTGGCCAAATAACGAATAAATTTTTATTCATTACTTACAAATGACTAAATATAGAATAAATTTTTATTCGCCAATTTAATGAAAAGACGTATTAGAAGTGTAATTTAGTTTTGAGGGCTTTTGCAAGATAATGGCACTCATACCCTTACGAAAAAGATGCACCGGCTAGGGATTGTAATTTGTGTAATCCAAATACTACAATAACTACTGGAAAATATTACAATAATCACACATAAATATTACAATAAACCTATGTGGTTTTTTCGCACTACGGTCAATGGATTACAGGAAAATATTACAGGGATTTACACAGATCACAGGATTCACAGGTCAAATATTATAAAAGTAGAAAATAAATCAGTAACTGACTAATAAAAAATAAAAACTTTCTTTTACTTATTATCATTTTTTAACAAGTATTTAGAAACTTTAACTAACTTTTATCAACCATTCGTAATTTTTAAATACATTTTTATTATAATTTTATCTCAAGGTCTTATAATGGTGGGTTTTGAATCTGGATCGCAGGATTACGAGTCTCGCATCTTCTCCGTCATATCACTTTGAAGTATCGATATTTAATGCTTTTTATTGTATATATAGTATAATCAACGCAATTAGATTGCATTACTTTTATAAATTATTTTTTATTAATTAGATATTAATTATCTCTTAAATTTTTTATTTTTAATTGTAATTAATAGTAAAAAACAAATAAATATAAATACAAAAACAAAATAAAAAAATAATGTACAAAATGTAAATAATTTTAAATTATAAAAAAATAAAATGTAAATGAAATAAACAAAAACAAATTACGTTAAAAAATGTAAAAATATATATATGTAATATATAATTTTTAAACTAGCCTTCTGTGATTTTTATTAATTGCAGGAGTAATATTTATATGACTATTATCGCGTATCTAGAGATGGAAAATTACCGTCATTTTCAATCTGACAATTACTTGCAGTAAAATTATGGTAAAAATGGTAATTTTTGGTAATTATATAATGGTATAAATTTTATTTTTAATAGTTATATGCCCAAGTAAGGTATTTTCCACATTAATAAATAAGATAAAATGATATTCTTTTTATATTTTCAAACATATTCTCATATTAACATTGTATTTTAAGCTTTTCGCACATGAAATACTTTAACTTATATTAAAATTTTAAAATTTAATTTTTTATTTTATTAATTAAAACTGTAAAACTTTCTGCGATATTAGTTGCGCTGGTGCATTATTAATTATAGTTATAAAAAGATCAAAATAGAGTAGTTTATTTTGTATTTATAATTCTATGTGTTTTTTGTTTCTTATTAGATAAACAATTTTATATAGATACTAATATAGTCGCGAAAATGTGATAAATATAAGTTAAGCTGTAATAATATAAAGTAAATAAAGATTTATTTATTACAGATCTGTAAAACATGAATTAAATAAAGTGTTTATTCATTCTTAATGCTAAATGGTTCTTTTAAACTTTATTTTAGTTTTTTTTAAATTATCATTTTACCAAGTCCCCAAAATTATCTTACCATTTACCGTAATTTACCAAATAAATTATTGTCAGATTAGGTCATTTTCATCTCTACGCATATCATTAAATATTAATTATATATATACATTATATATCACACACTTAATACATATTTATATGTATATATGAATTAGAATATGTATTATATTGTAACTTTTTTATAATATTATACATACTGTAGTGACCACACGTGTGTATGTTTCGATCAGGCGAAGTTTCTGAACGCAGCCCTGAAGTCATCTTTAAGTTATCTTATATGGATAAAACCATAAAGATGACTAGTTGGGCGACATCGGCCGCCTTTTAGTCATCTTTTCGTCGACTATATTCTTTTACTAAAAGATATCCTCATAACAATTTAGTCACCATTTAAACAATTTAGTCATCTTTTAAACGACTTTGTGCTGTCTGGAAAAGAGTATAAGAGAGTAAAACAACTTTTCTTTCTCTCTTTAAAAGTGGAGAGGGGACTGTTGAAGGGGGGAGTTTAACATTATATATTGTAATTGAAAGATTAAATTAAAAAGTATCTTGTATTTCAAATAAAAACTTAAAAGTATTTTGTATTTTGTATTTCAAATCGAAAGATTGAAAGTATTTTGTACTTTTTATTTTAAATCGAAAGATTG